GTTTTATATTTTACATATAATTAATCTTTAAACAAAAAAAATAAATTTAATTATAGATTAACGTTTTATATTTGTTGTTAGGGCGATCGGATCCATGCTCAGATCAAAGATACTAATATACGCACATTCAAACAAGATTTGCAAGAAAATGCAGTTTACTTAATCATGAGGGTCAAGGTTATACGCAATTTCCAAGACACAAAAACTACCAATCACCCTTGCATGCTCCAATTTTTGGGAAGGACCAAGACTCAAAAACTACCAATATATATGTAATAATATCTAATAACTTATTACATTTAAAAATGGTAATATACACATTTATTTTGAACGGTTAAATTAATATAAACATGTATTTTGGTAATAAAGTATTCACACACGCCATGTTAAATAAAAAATTTATACGAATGGTAATAATTGTACTTAATTATATTTACTCATATATATGTAATAATATCTAATAACTGATTACATTTAAAAATGGTAATATACACATTTATTTTGAACGGTTAAATTAATATAAACATGAACATGTATTTTGGTAATAAAGTATTCACACACACCATGTTAAATAAAAAATTTATACGAATGGTAATTTATACGAAGGGTAATAATTGTATTTAATTATATTTACTAATATATATGTAATAATATCTAATAACTTATTACATTTAAAAATGGTAATATACAAATTTATTTTGAACGGTTAAATTAATATAACCATGTATTTTGGTAATAAAGTATTCACACACGCCATGTTAAATAAACAATTAAGTATGTATATCACCAAAGGTAATTAAAAATATAATTACCATAATAAAGTAAGGCTAATAAAATGTATATATTATTTTGGTATTATGTGAATTTCTACAAATGGTAATTGTATTTAATTATATTCACTAATTTAAATGTAATAATATCTAATAAATTATTACATTTAAAAATGGTAATATATACATGTATTTTGAATGATAAAATTCATATAAAGTATTAAGTACGAATATTTAATATAAATATTAAGTACGTATACAAAAAAGATAATTAAAAATCTAATTACCACACTAAAGAAAGGCTAATAAAATACATATATTATTATGTTATCCTTTAATATAACTGTGTATTTTGAAATTCTAATTAAAAATAGGAAAATACGTATAGAGTAATGTACTCCCTCCGTCCCAAAAAGAATGGGACGGTTTGACTTTTTGGGAAATTAAGGGAGACATATTTTGGTATTGACTTTCCAAAAATACCCTTGATGTGATGGGAAAAAGTAGGATGTGATGAGTAGATTATTAGAAAAAAGGTATGATGTGATAGATAGGGTATGAAAAAGTAAGGGGTAAAAGTGGTTTTTTAATAGAAATGTAACGGACTTTACGGGACGCAGTTTTATCTAAACGTAACAAACTTTTTGGGACGGAGGGAGTATACTTTTAACACGTATACAAAAATGGTAATAAAAAATTATTAATGGTAGAAATGTTGAACATTAATGCAGCGAAACAAATTAGAGGAAAATTGTCTGCTCGAAAAGGTAAGTGTTCATAGACAGAAAAAGATAAATAAAAACAAAATTTTGGGCAGATTCTTCATACCATAACTTGCATAAACGAAATTAGAAATTAAATAATGATGATTCATTCTATGCCCATATATTTTCAAGAGACAATATATATATATTAAAGGGACAATTAGGTTGTTGAATTCAATTTAAAAAAAATCAAATATGCTGCCTATAAAATTTCTACCAGATGTGTGATTCTTTGTGGTGATTAGTGAGTATATGATAAGTAAAAAAACCTGGGTTTCTAATGACCTACATTCAGAAGCATTCGATAGAGAACTAGAGAAGCATTCAAGAGAGCCGATATTGAAAGAGTAACGAATTACTGATGCGGCAAATAAAGACGTCAACAAGAATTATTGGTACAAAGCGCATCAACCCCGATTCAAACATAGGTACGTCACTCATACTTTAATTCAATTCAGTTATTGATAAAAATATTTAGCTTGGTGAATATAAATTTTTCAAAAAACATTAAATCGGTGAAGACAATACTCCCACAAATTGTACAAATAATGTAGTCTATAAGGAAGTATTTCAAAATTTGTAAAACATTGATTTCTGTACCTTAAAATAATATAATCTCTATATTCTATTGTATCTCATATTTTATCATTGAAAAATGATCTGAATTTAATAACATAAAAATGACCCGTGCAACGCACGAGTGTGATACTAGTTATACAAAAGGAAATATAATTTCTAAAAAAAGGAATATTACTTTTAAAATACAATGATTTTAAATCTATTTTTATAAAATGAATTTTTAAACAAGGAATATTACTTTTAAAACACAATGTTTTCAATTCGTATAGAGTGTACTAATTATTTTGGGTATAAATAGAACATGACTTTCCATGGTTGTAAACTCACATTCGCATCGTAAATTTACTTTTTCCGTTCTTTAATACAAACCACATAAGGAATAATTAGTGTGTGGTAAGATTCAAATATCGAGACTTTTGAGAATGACCTCGAAGAAAACAATGTTTATGGTTTCTATAAGTTTAAAGTCCAACGCAACCTACAAAACACAAAGACGACCTCCCACCATTTTATGATAGTCCTTTTTGGAAAGACGAAGCTTCATAAATTATCTTTGGAACAATTTTCAAATTTCTGATATAAATTCATGGCTTTTAAAGACATCCCATTACTACCTTTGATAGACGACATTCATCTATATTTATACTATTTTTAAAAAGAGGGGAATTCTCCATTCTATTTTCCCACCTAAACATTTTAGTCACAAAAGATAAGTGCTAAAACTTGAAATGGTAACTGCCGTGTACAAGGTAATTTCATAATTATTTGCTCTCTCAGCTTTATTTCATAGTTATTATTAATTATTAAATTATTAATTATTATGGTACCATGTAATAATAATAATAATAATAATAGAAAAGGTAACATGTGAACCTTTAATATTAATATGGTAATAATATGATGCCGTATAATAATAGTAACAATAAACGTAATAATTATTACTGGTACCGTGTATAATAAAAAATGTAACATGTGGAACTTATTTTTAAATTATGAATTATTAATGAATTAATTTCGTACCTCATAAATTTGGAACATTGTAATAAAAATTAGAAATGTGAAACTTTAATTATTAATAAGTTAATTTCATGGGAGAAAGACTAAACTAGGACTAAAATATTGAAAATATACCAAAATAGGACTTCTATGTTTTTATTCCGGAAATAGGACTTACATTACCAAACATGGTCATATACATTATCAAACAAGAATAATAATTTGCACATGTACACTGCCACATTACCACAATGCAAAGCCACATTACCACAGTGCAAAGTCCTATTCCGGGAAAAAAACATGAAAGTCCTATTTTGGTACTTTTCTTTATGTTTTAGTCCTATTTAGGATGATTTCTATAATTTCATACCTTACAATTTTTTGTACCGAGTATAATAAAAAAAGTAACATATGAAAGAATAATAACATGGTAATAATATGGTGCCGAATAATAATGATTATAATCATAATAATAAACGTAATAATAGTAATAAAGCTAAGTTAGTTTTGTACTATTACCGCGTATAAAATAAATGAAAGTGTTGACTTGGTTTAAAAAATGTATTCTCATACCTTATATATTTTACCAAAATTATAAATTATAATATTAATTATTAATTATTAATAAGGTAATTTCATACCTTATATTTTTTTGTACGTGTAATAAAAAAGGTAACATTTAGAATAATAATAATAATATGAAAATAATATGGTACCGTATACTAATAATCATCATAATAATAAACGTAATAATAATCAAGGTATGTTAGTTTTGTGCTACTACCATGTATAAAATAAATCAAAGTGTTCACTTGATTTTAAAAAAATATATTCACACACCTTATATTTTTTTTACCAAAATTATAAATTATAAAATTAATTATCAATCATTAATAAGGTAATTTCATACCCTATATTTTTCGGTATTGTGCAATAAAAAAGGTAACATGTAAAACCTTAATTATTAGTTATTAATTATTAATTATTAATAAGGCAATTTCATACGTTATAGATTTTGGTACCATGCATAATAAGAAAGGTAGCATGTGAAAGAATAAAAAGAATATGGTAATTTTATGGTACCGTATAATAATAATAATCACTATAATAAACGTAATAATAATAAATATAAGTTATAGAGTAACAATAATCATCACAATAATAATCGTAATAATAGTAATAGAGTAACAAATTATAGTGACTTGAAGATTTCGATATACAACGAACACAATGTTCCCATAAATTGTACGAATAATGCAGTTTACAAAAAGTCGTTTGAAATTTCTAAGCAAAAAACTTTTGTACTTTAAAATAATAAAATCTTTATAGTATTTTATTACATATCATCATTTATCATTAAAAATGATCTTATTTTAGTAACGTAAGTATGACCCGTGCAGCGCACGAGTGTGATACTAGTTTATTGCATAAATAATCATTTATATTTTTTAAAGAGAAAATAAATAAAAAGATTTTCACACCGTTTATTAACTCGGTATTTTTCTACCTCTAGACATTTCTTCATTGGTAATCAACGTCAACTAGAAATAGAGTA